TTTAAATATAGTGTTGGTGATTCTGCTGGGAGCAAGGCAACAGGACTGCGAAATGATTGAATTTGGGGGAGAAACCAAGAGCAAGCATAGTGCTTCTCCAAGGGCATGTCCCCTCCTCCTCACTAAGACCCTGAGTGAAACTGAAATTATCATAAAAAGGGCAGCCACTAAGGCCCCGTAAATGGATGACCTAGGGTTAAACCCAGTCAGGTGGAAAACACAAGCTTTAATTATGAATGTGGCTAAGGCAGAATTCCTTGAAAGGACCAATCAGAGACTAGAGGTATTCATCTACCCCTAGATGAGCCCCTTGGGCAGCCGACGTGGGTCCCCTCCCTGCTGTCGACATGGGTCCCCTCCCTGCTGTCGTCTGTCTGTCTGTCTTTCAAATAAACTTTCCTATCACTCACTCTGTAAACTCATTCTTTGATTTCATGAGACCACAAACCCGAACACCACTTGGTTTCATCAGTCCTCCCTCCAACCTCTGGGAAACAGGCTCATTCTATGGATGACAAAACGTATCCCGTGAAGATTAGCCTCTGTGCAGAAAGCCTCACAGGCTTACTGGACCACCACCACCAACAGTGAAGCCACAGAAAATTTCAGGTCTGGGCACCACAATCGAGCTTTGGGGAACTGAATCATCTAGTTGGGCAAGACCTGCTTGGTCCCCAAGGCTGTCAGGGACAAAGTACAAGCCTATCCAATACCAAAAACCATAACAGAGGTACAGTCTTTTAGGGGAATTCTGGGGTGTTGGTGAACTTTCATACCATTTAGTGCAATGCCTTTGCCCATTATATTGCCTGGGTAAGAAAGGACAGATACAGCCCTGGCCGGTTTGGCTCAGCGGTTAGAGCGTTGACCCGAGGACCAAAGAGTCTTGGGTTCGATTCTGGTCAAGGGCATGTACCTAGGTTGTGGTTTGGTCCCCAGCCCTGGTCAGGGTTGTGCAGGAGGCAACCAATTAATGTATCTCTCTCACGTCAATGTTTCTCTCTCTCTCCCTCACACTCTATCTGAAGATCACCCTGGAAAAATATCCTCGGGTGAGCATTTAAAAACAAAGGGCAAATGTGGGACTGAGGACCCAACAACAGGCTGTCTTTGCGAAAGCGAGTGCTGCTCCAACAGATTCGCTCGTGGACTCTCACGGGCGAGGCTGCCATTTGAATTATATGTTCCAGGAGCCCTGGAAGGCATGAGCTGGGCAAAATAACAAAACTGGCAAAAAGAGTGTCCCTTGGATTTTGGTCCCAACTGTGGAAGGGGACAGAGATCAGCTACACCCTAATGGAAAGCCAACTGCCATTGACCTGGGCTATTTTAAAAATTAAACTCCATTCTGATCAGTTATTCCTGCCCGGAAACACCCTAGCAGTTTTCTAAAAACCCTGGGACTGACACCCAGAGGAACCATAAAGATAAGGGGTTAATGGTGGCTTTGGGAAACTTGGAGGGACCATAAAAAGACAGAGATTAATGGCTGCCCTGACCTCTGTAACAAGCTCCTCTCCCTCGTCCCCTGCAGCAGATCCCCCCTGCCTCTGGAGCAGTCTGTATCAGCCCTGGCACCAATTAAGTGGAGCCAAGAAGAATGTAGGTTTTTCTTGAATGTACTTTGTGTCTATATAAGCAAAGAACAAAGAAAGCTCAGGGCTATCGATTTGGGAAAACTATGCCCCCCTCAGCCCGCCAGTGAATAAAGTGCTCCTTGCAATTCGGTGTGTGTCTCTGGTTATCTCGCTGACACATTACACCACCATAAGAACTTACCTTCCCATCAAGGAGAGGATCAACATGTTCCACTGCCCAGCCTGACTCAATGGCATGTCTCTTGACAACAGAGGAGCGCTCTAAGTCCTGTCTGCAGCGCACTCAGTCACCAGTGCGCCCTGCTGACTATATATATCTCCAATGCTCCTGCTCACACAGGTGTCAGCCTCTACGACCTGCAGAAAAGGGAGCTTCTGGCCGGAGCTGGTGGCTCTAGCCAGGGCAATCCGTCTACCCAGCTGCTGTCACCATTCAGCCAACCACTGATACTATTTGGATGGAAACAGGCACAGATGATGCAGCCAACGGGCTGAGTTAAAAGTGGCTTGTCTGGTAATCACACGAGAACCTTGGCCAGGGACCCCGGTACTTACAGTTGGGCTGTTCTAAAAGGACTGCCTCTGGTTTTGACCATGGGAGGCAGGGGCGGGTGACAACAGTGAGCAGAGCTGTGTAGGAACACTTCCAGGTAATCAGGAAGCAGATGCCTTGGCAAAAACATGTGCCTTAGCAACGGACCCATCAGTGGACACAGCAAATTGGGCACATTGAAAAAGTGAACACCCTAGTGCCCAAGTAGAGTGACACATGCTAAGCAGGAGATGCTGGAGCTGAAGCTAAGGGTTCAAGCCTATCTATTCACTGAAGCCCCCAACCAGTAAGGGACCAGCAGGTGGACTACACAGACCCTCTCTCCTTGAGTAAGGCTCCAAATGTGTCTTGGTGTGTGTCCACCCTGCCTCTGGTTGAACTCATGCCTTCCACGGGTTGGCAGTTGAATCAGGCTGTTCTCATAAATGGACTAAAAAATCTAAGTACTATGTGTGGGAGGGTCACATTTCAAAGGACATGATGTGCATACAAGAATGGGAAGAATACAATACTGAATGGAGGGTCCACCTCCCCCATAACCCACAGGCAGCTGGGCAGATAAAACAGAAAAATGACGTCCTTCAGTAACAGATAAAATCATTAGCTGGAAAACCTACCTTGGCTGGGTAGACAAAGGTGCTTTCCCAGGCATTGAGACATTATGTTTTTTTGGATATTATTTTTTTTTTAGAGAGAGAGAAAAAGATTGATCTGTTGTTCCACTCACTTACGCATTTATTGGGTGATTCTTTCCCCCTCCCCACCCCCATTGGGTGATTGTTGTACGTGCCCTGACTGGGAATCAAACCGCGGCCTTGGCATATTGGGATGACACCTTAACCGACTAAACTATCTGGCCAGGGCCCCAGGCATTATTAATACAGCTAAATGACCAAAGTGTAGGGGCCTGTCACCACATATACTCCTACATGGCAGAGGTGTGGGCATGGGACGCAGCAATGGTGCTCACACTGGCCATGGAGCAGTGGGCCACGATCATAAGGGCACCAAGACCTATGTCCCCGGAACAGGGACCATTTACTGGAATCTGCAATGGGGCATTCTGCTGGGATGGGTCAATTACTTCACGTCCCTGGATGGAGAGAAACTTCTCCGTCTCCTGTGGACCCTGTCATCCTAAGACAGTTGGGACCCACGGAGACGCACTATATATGGACTGGTACACACACCACTGAAAGAAGGGAGATGGTACGGGTCCCAGTCTGGCATATTCTTCCCCCTGTTTACCTCCTCATGCCAGAGAGCACCTCCCCTGGCCAACATGTAGAGGTCACACAGCCTGGCCAGGTCCCAAGGCCATGGCTACATTAACACCAATGATCAGGCTACAAGTGTCGTGCTCATAGAAGATGACCTCCCAATTCAAGTCCCTACTAAATATTTGTCTTTCTGACCTTAGACTTCTGTTGTTCCTGTGGCATCCAATAGTTATGGGGGAGATGGGCACCCCAACTGAATGTTGTGTTTTTTTTGTTTTTGTTGTTTTTTAATCCTCACCCGAGGATATTTTTCTACTTATCTTCAGATAGAGTGGGAGGGTGGGAGGGAGCAAGGGAGGGATGGAGAGAGAGGGAGAGAAACATCAACATGAAAGAGACACATCAACTGGTTGCCTCCCGCTTGACCCTGACCAGGGCCGGGACCGAACCACAACCAAGGTACATGCCCTTGACTGTAATGGAATCCATGACTCTGGTCCATGGGCCGATGCTCGAACTGCTGAGCCAAACTGGCCAGGGCTGAATGTTGTTTTTGATACCAGACGAATTGCTAATACGTAGTTCTTCTTTGCTCACACACGAAGGCTCATGTAAACACCCCAGGTCTAGGTGACCTAACACACTAGCTCGGATCCTGAGAGGCATGATGGAAAACATCATTACTAGTACTTGGATTCCTTCTTTTAATTTTTTCTTGTTCTTGAACATGTTTATATTGTTGCTGTGGACTGTGTCTATGTCCCTAAGGTACCCAACTACCTTCCTACTAATGAAGCCCCTTACTGATCACTCAAGGCACCTCTTGTAAGAGCTGCTCATGAGGGGTGGAATGTGGAGGAGAGACCATTCCGTGATGTGACAGCTGCCAGACCTGCCAGCTAGGTCTGGGACAAAACAGACAGTCTGAGTGAGCGCCCCCTGTGCATCACAGCATGCTGGTGTGTGCTGGTTCCGCCCTGCCCTGGGGCAAGCCTGGACAGCATTTCCCCCTTTTCTGGGGTGGGTCGCACTGCAGTGCCCCATCCATACTGCCCTGTCTTGTATTACACTTAGTGCCTGCCACATGGCACACAGGACATCCATGAGGTCTTGCCAACCAGCCAAGACACACCTCCTTTGTAAGTTCTGTAATAAACTCCAGATGAAATGATGGAGTTGCCAGCCTCTCTTTGGGCTCTTGGTCCAGGGAAATTTTATGAACACTCCTCCACCCACGACCTGGTTTTTCAGCATTTACCAGCATGCCCTTGGGTGTTTTAACAAGCCGCCAGGTGATTCTGATGGACACTGAAGTATGAGGATCAGGGACTACACCAAACTCAATGATGTGGAAAGTGAAGAAAGGACTTTTATAAAATGTCCCATTTGGTCAAAATATAGTGTCAGGGAGTCATGCAGATAAGCACTACTTCCACAAGCCCGAGAGAGACTCTCGCCACAGTCCAAAGGAAGCGGGAAGGAGAACTGGAATGGGTGGTTGACACAGTGCTGCAGGGTGTAAGATTTTGTCCCTCTGTGCCCATGACTTCCTGCTGGTGGGGCTCTTCCAGATACACCCAAGAGAGACAGCCAGGGTCACTGTGAGAGTGACCTGGGGCTTCCATTTACCTGAGACATGAGGGTGTCACAAGCAGAAGATAAGCCAAATCCCACCGAGATACCAGTAACATTGATAACCTGGAAATAAACACAAAGGAGAGGCCACTCAGTTACAGGAAGACAGGAAGGCAAATTCTCTGTCTGCGCTGGTAGGAGCATGCAGGGTGCCTCCGCCAACCCTCACTGTCAACTTAACCAACTCTGATGGGCCCTGAGCCCCGGTGCAGACCCGCTGGGCTGGTTTCATTAGAGGACATGCACAGGTTTAGAGAAGGAAGAAAAATCTAGGCCAGAGGTTATTACTCAGCTTTTCTCTTTTAAATCTTAAGTGTTTTGCTCCCTAATTTCAGAGGAACACAAATCCTCCCTGAGGAGAAAGCAACATGGCACAGTGGCAGTCTTGGGTCAGTCTACTTGCTCAAGACCAAGCATGGCTTGTTCCAGTATCCTGAAGGCTCTGGGAGCACGGAAGCAAGTCTCTGAAGTCAAGTCTAGTGCCAGCGGCTTTCCAGATGTACTTGTCTTGACCAGGTCAGCACCAAAGCCCTGGGGCTCCTGGGGCTTTGGGGAGCCCAGGGCAGCAACCCCAAAATCAGGGAGTGGCACAGCAGAACATCTGATGCTCTTCTTGTCTGGAACCTGCCACCTCCACCAGAGTCTGCAGGGAGATGCCTGGGACCACGGTCCACACCGAGCCCAGCCTAAAAGCACCAGCTTTCTTGTACTTCCTTGACCAAAGAGAATCTACTGGAGGCCAGCATTTCAGTCTTCCCCACATTTCCAAACATTAAAAATCAAGCATGGCTTGTTAAAGGAAAATCAAGCACAGCGTTGTTCATGTTGCCTTCTGAAAGCAAAATCGTCTGTTTATACCTGGGGACTAGTTCAGAGTAGTCTTGTACAGTTCACAGGGAACAACTCACATGCCTGGAGGGAGCAGGCAGGAGAGGGGAATGTGTGTCGTGTCAGGGCAGGGCAAAGGGGAGTCTGGGAGGCCAGGCACAGGGACACACTTGCTGAAAGCCACTGAATCCATTTTTCTAGAAATAGCTTCTGGCCAAACCAAGCAAGCTGGCAGGGCCCTATGGCCATACCTAACCAGTGAACCCTTGGCAGAGGTCAATGACATAGGTCTCTGGTTTGGGGAGATTTGCATCTAAGACACAGAGGATTTGGAGTTCTTTTTGATTTTCGCTTTAGATATTAGGATACAGGATTTCATCTTCCAGCTTAATTTCTAGATTAGAACGGTCAGTGAGACAGACAAGTCACGGGGATGGGAGTGTAGGTCATAGTTTCTTTTTAAAAAATTAAATGTATTGGGGTGACATTGGTCAATAAGATCATATAGGTTTCAAGTATACAATTCTATGACACATGATCTGTATATTGCATTGTGTTTCCACTACCCAAAGTCAAACCATCTTTGTCACCATATATGTGGCCCCCTTTAACCTCTACTGCCTCCCCACCCCCTTCCCTCTGGTAACTACCATGCTGTTATCTGTGTCTATGAGTTTCAGTTTTATATCCCACATATGAGTGAAGTCATATGGTTCTTAGCTTCTCCTGACTGACTCATTTTGCTTAGAATAATATTCTCAAAGTCCATCCATGTTGTCGCAAATGGCAGTATTTCATTCTTTTTTATGGCTGAGTAGTATTCTATAATACATTTATCCCACATCTTCTGTATCCAGTCCTCTATTGAAGGGCACTTTGGTTGTCTCCATGTCTTGGCCACCGTTAATAATGCTGCAATGAACATAGGGGTGCATATATCCTTGTGAATACATGTTTTTGAGTTTTTCAGGTACATACCCAAAAAAGAGACCACTTAAAAATTAAATTCTTAATTTTTTTGAGCAATTAGCAGTTTTCCATAGTTGGCTGTACCATTCTACATTCCCACCAGCAGTGAATGAAGGTTCCCTTTTCTCCACATCCTGGCCAATATTTGTTATGACTTGTCTTATTGATAATAGCCATTCTACCAAGTGTAAGGTGGTATCTCATTGTAGTTTTGATCTGCATTTCCCTAAGAGCTAGTGAAGTTAAACATCTTTTCATATATCTGTTGGCCATTTGTATATCTTCTTGGGAGAGGTGTCTGTTCAGGTACTCTGCCCAGTTTTTAACTGGACTGTTTGTTTGGTGTTGAGTTTCATGATAAATATAACCCTTTGGTGGAATAATTTTTTAAATCCTTACCGGAGGACACGCTTCAATTTTTGTTCAGATAGAGTGGGAGAGAAAGAGAGGAAGAGAGAGAGATAAACATTAACATGAAAGGGACACATTGAGTGGCTGCTTCCTGCACAACCCCAACCAGAGCCAGGGACGAACCGCAACTGAGGTACATGCCCCTGACCAAAATCAAACCCGCGACTCATTGGTCAGTGGGCCAACGTTCTAACTGCTGAGCCAAACCGGCCAGGGCTCTGTAGAATAATTTTAAGTCAGCTAACATGGTAACTCCATCTTTGTTTGGTGTTGAGTTTCATGATAAATAGAATTACCATATGACCCAGCAGTCCCTTTCCTGGGTCTTTTTTCTCAGGATTGCTTTGACTACTAGGAGACGTTTGTGGTTTCCAATAAATCTGATTTTTTTGTTCTATTTGTTTAAAAAATGACATGGGGCCTGGACAGTGTGGCTAGGTGGATACAGTGTTGTCCCATAGACTGAGAGATCCCGGTTTGATTCCTGGTCAGGGCACATGCCCAGGTTGTGGGCTCGACTGGTGACAACTGATGTATTTCCCTCACATCAATGTTGCTATCTCTTTCTCCTTTCCTCTCGCTCTAAAAAATCAATAAAAACATTTTTTAAAAATGACATGGGGATTTTAATGGGGAATGCATTAAATCTGTATATTGCTTTGGGTAATATGACCATTTTAACTACGTTGATTCTTCCAATCCTTGAACACAAAATACCTTTTTAGTTCATTGTGTCTTTTTCCACCTCTTTTAATAATGCTTTGTAGTTTTCAGTATGCAGGTCGTTCACATTCTTTGTTTATTCCTAGGTATTTTATTATTTTAGTTGTAATTACAAAAAAAATATTTTTTTCCATTTTCTTTTTTTTTTATCCTTACCCGAGGACATTTTTTGTTCAGATAGAGTGGAGGGGGAGAGAGAGAGAGAGAAAAACATCAACGTGAAAGGGACACATGGTTGGGGACAAACTGCAACCGAGGTACGTGCCCTTAGCAGGAACTGAACCCAGGTCTCTCCGGACTGCAGGCCAACGCTCTAATCGCTGAGCCAAACCAGCCAGGACTGAACTTTTTTTTTTTGAGAGGTTTTGATTTTTTTTTTTTTTATCCTCACCTGAGGACATTTTTCCATTTTTTGGTTCAGATAGAGCGGGAGGGAGAGAGAGAGAGAGAAACATCAACGTGAAAGGGACACATCGAGTGGTTGCCACCCACACGACCAACCAGGGCCGGGGACAAACTGCAACCGAGGTATGTGCCCTTAGCGGGAACCGAACCCGGGTCTCTCTGGACCGCAGGCCAACGCTCTAACCGCTGAGCCAAACCGGCCAGGGCATTTTTTGAGAGGTTTTGGATAGCTGTTTCAATTTCCTCACTGTTTATCAGTCTATTTAGATTTTCCAGTTCTTAATGATTCAGTCTAGGAAAGTTATATATTTCTAGGATCTTATCCATTTCTTCTACGTTGCTGAATTTGGCAGCATATAGTCTTTCATAGCATTCTAGTATGATCCTTTGTATATCTGTGGTAACTTCTTATTCATTTCTGATTTTATTTATATGAGTCTTTTCCCTTTTTTCCTTAGTGAGTCCAGCCAGGAGTGTGTCAATTTTATTAATCAACAAAGAACCAGCTCTTTGTTGTATTAATTTTTTGTATAGTCTTTTTGTTGTTTCATTCAATTGTGCTGTAATATTTATTATTTCCTTTCTTCTGCTGACTTTGTGTTGCTTTTGTTCTTTTTTTTTTTTTAGTTCTTTAAGATGTAATGTTAGATTGTTTACTTGGTATTTCTCTTGTTTCTTGAGATAGGCCTGCAGTGATATAAACTTACCCCTTATTACTGCTTTCACTGCATCCCAGAAGCTTTGATATGTCATATTGTCATGTTCATTTATCTCTATATGTCTTTTGATCTCACCTTTCATTTCTTCTTTGACTCAGCCATTTTTAGCAGTATGTTGTTTAATCTACACAGATTTGCGGGTTCCTTGACTTCCTTTATGCAGTTGATTTCCGTGGTCAGAGAATATGCTTGGTACAATTTCAATCTTCTTGAGTTTGTTGAGGCTAGTTTTGTGACCCAACATATGGTCTATTCTTGAGAATGTTCCATGTACACTGAAGAAGAATGTATAATCTGATGTTCTGGGATGAAAGGCTCTATAAATGGCAATTACGTCCATTTGGTCTAATGTCTCATTTAAGGCAGATATTTCTTCATTGATTTTGTTTGGATGATCTATCTAGAGCTGTCAATGGGGTATTAAGGTCCCCAACTGTGATTGCTTTGGTCTGTTTTTCCCTTTAGTTCTGTTAGTAGTTGCTTTATATATTTTGGTGCTCCCTGATTGGGCGTTATGTCTTCTTGATGCAGTGTTCCCTTTATTATTATAAAATATCCATCTTTGTCTCGTTACCTTTGTTATCTTGATATCTATTTTGTCGGATATACGTACGGCTACACCTGCTTTCTGCAGAGGTAATTTGCTTGGAGAATCATTTTCCACCCTTTCACTTTGAGTCTAACTTTATCTTTGCAGCTTAGATGTCTCTCCTGAAGGCAGCATAAGGTTGGGTTTTGTTTTTGATCCACTCTGCTACTCTGTGTCTTTGATTGGTGAATACAGTCCATTTACATTTAGGGTAATTATTGATGCTTAAGACTTTCCTATAGCCATTTATCTTCTCTTTTCTGGCAGCTCTGTGCCTCCATTGGTTCTTTTCCTTTGTTTCTGTCAATTCTTTTTGTTTGGTGGTATTTCATACATCTTTCCTCTGTGTCCTCTTTTTTTAAAGCTATGTGTGGTTATCATTAGGTTTATGAAAAAAGAAGTTTCATATATACAGTAGTCCTTTCCTTTTGAATGCATCTGATCTCCATCCTCCTTTGCACATCCAGACCTTTTCCCTCCCCTTTTATGTTTCTGCTATTACAAATTATCCCTGTTTATGCTTTAAGTTTGTTAGTGATCTTACTGATAGTTTTGTGAGCTTTTATTCTTTGTTTCAGGTAGGAAAACCCCCTTGAATATTTTCTGCAATGGATGTCTTCTGGTGATAAATTCCTTCAGCTTATGTATTTCTAGAAAAGTCTTTATTTCTCCTTCATATGTAAAGGATAACTTTCCTGGATACATGGTATTCTTGGCTGGTAATTTCTCTCTTTCAGTAGTTTGAACATTCAGTTCCATTCTCTCTGGCTTGTACAGTTTCTGCTGAGAAGTCTGAGGATAACCAAATGTGCTTTCCTTTATAGGTTACTTTCTTCTTTTCCCTGGCTGCCTTGGGAATTCTTTGTCATTAACTTTTGACAGTTTTAATACAATGTGCCTTGGGGGAGGTCTCTTTGCATTGAGCTTAATTAGGTATTCTGTTTGCTTCTTGGATTCAAGGATATAGCTCTTTCCGTAAGTTTGGAAAGTTCTCATTCACTATTTGTTTGAATAGACTCTGTTCCTTTCTCCCTCTTTTCTTCTTCTGGTATGCCTATAATTCTTAGATTGTTTTTTCTCATGGAGTCAGATAGTTCTCATAGAGTCCTTTATTTTATTTTTTTTAATGCTCAAGTCTCTCTTCTTCCCACTGCCTTATTTCTATACTTTATCTTTGACCTCAGTAATTCTTTCCTCCATCTGGTCTGCTCTATTTCCTATGATCATTGGTTCATTCTTGAACTCTTTTATTGAGTTCTTCATCTCCAGAATTTCTGCTTGGTTCTTTTATAAAGTTTTCATCCCTTTGGTAAAGTATTAATTTTGTTTGTTAATTTGTTTTCTGAGTGCATTAAATTGCCTGTCTATATATATTTTTTTGCATCTCATTGAGTATTTTCAGAACTGCAAGCTTGACTTCTCTGTCATTTATATCACATATTTCCATGTGTTTAAGTTTGTTTTCTAGAGATGGTCCATTTTCTTTCTGAGCTGCCTAGCTACATTGATTATTCATGGTATTTGATAGATTTCTTCTCTGTCTAGGCATCTATGTATGAGTGGTATTTTTCTAACAGATGACTACAAAGACATCTTTCAATTATCTTTTAGTAGGTGGCACTGAATCACAAGTTTTTTAGCTCTGTTAAATTGGAATGCTGACCCCACCCCACCCCACCCCACCCCACCCCCACCACAGTGGTTCTGGCTGCTGTCAGTGTAGCTACAATGTGTGGGGATGGGTCTAGCTGGGGGAACCCCGCCACCTTCTTTGTTTTGCCCTTCCAGTACTGGCAACCTTGGACCTGCATGAGGTACCCCCTGTACCCCACCTGAGAGCCAGGCACAGAATACACCCTTTGCTCAGGGGAAATAGTGATTTTGTAGTACCTTTTTTTGGGTTTGCAGAGAATATGCTCCACAACCCCGACACCAAGGGTGAAGGGAGATGAGTTCTGGGAGTCTACCAGTGCCTTGTGTCTCTGTCTACAATTCCATCTGACAGACAACTGCAGCAGCACCCCAGTACTGTGTCCTTGCCCCGGTCTCTGGGCTCAGCTGCAGCTCCAACTGTCCACTTCTGCAGGAGTGCCACTGAGTCTCTGCTCCCCACCCCCACCCCCACCCCCGCCCCGCTGAAGGAAATGCCAGCCACAACCAGATTCCTCCCCTCTCCGAGCTGAGCCCTGCTGTGAGCTCCTGGCTGCAAGGCTTCCTCTGTGACTCATCTGACTCCTCCTCCCTTCATACCTCCCTCATTGCTCATATTTAGATGCTTCAATGATCAGATCTTTGTTCTGCCTGTACGTTGAGCAGCGAATCCTTTGCTGAGTTACAGCTGTTCAAATTGTTGAAATTTCAAGGGGAGAGACCAAGGGGACCCCTCACCTCACCATTCCTCTGGCATCACTCTCCTTTATTTCCTTCTGGTGTTTGGGACAATGCTCTTACCAACTGAGCCACACCAGCCAGTCCTTTATTTTCTTTAAGACAGGTATACCTCAGAGATATTGCAGGCTTGATTCCAGAATATTGTAATAAAGCGACTATTGCAATAAATAAAATCATAATCTTTTTGTTGATGGAGGGTTTTGCCTTTCATTTGTAAAAATGCAACACAACCGTTGGCAGTAGGCCTATAAACTTCTCTTTATGGTGTCAACTAGTCCTTCTCGTCCTCCAGTTTATTCATGATTCCTGGAGTAGAGGGTGTGAGAGCCTTCAAACACTTACATCCTCATGACCCCTCAGCTCTGCCACTTTCCTCCACTCACTCCCGCATGTTGGGCTGCGACTGAGTGATCGCCAACTCAGAAGCATTGCTCCAGCTCCCTCCCATGCTCAGAAGAAAGCCCTGCCACGTGCACACTCACGTTCCCGTGCCTTCGTGCCCCCTCGTGCCCCTCCATCTAGGCCCTGTCCGTCCACAGTCTCTTCTGAAGTCAGAGTTCAACCCCCTTTTCCAACTCCCTTCTCCCAAATGTGGGACCAAGAATCTCCATGGATTACAAATTAGCTAATGTGGCAGACAAAATAAAGGTCCTTCACAGAGGTCCCTGTCTTAACCTCCAGGATGCACGAACATGTGAAGTTACAGGGCAAAGGAGAATTAAAGCTGCAGCCCTGCCAACACCTTGAGTTTAGTTAGCTCAGTGAAACCTGTTTTAGACTTCTGACTTCCAGTAATGTGAGATAGTACATTTGCATTGTTTTTGTTTTCTTTTGCTTTTTGTTTTTTGGTACGTGTCCCTAGCGGGAACCGAACCCGGGACTCTGGTCTGCAGGCCAACGCTCCAACCGCTGAGCCAAACAGGCGAGGGCCATCTGCATTGTTTTAAGATGCTAAATTATGTAATTCCTAGTAGTAGCAAGAGAGAATACAGATGGGTTTCATACATAACGCCAACATGTCAGAACAGTCCCATACATACTGCAATCGCAAGTGTGACAGCATCCAGTTCCATCTTTCCCAGGTGGCCACAGAACACGGAGCTTATGAAACTTATCAGAAACACCATCAACTGGGCTAAGAACTGGGAAGAGACAGAAAACAAAAGTTATACATGAATGCCAACCATCACAGAAGGAGAGGGGTGCGGTTCCTGGGGTGCTGCTCCTCCCCCTCCCGCTGAATCAACTCCAGTTAGAAGTACAGAAGCAGGGCTTTTAGGAAGCACTGCCAACTTTCACTGATAAGTGTGACTTCTGGTGGGCTTCTTGGAAAACATTTACAAGTTCCTTTGTAAATGCTATCAGAAAAACATTTTTGAAAACTTCCTAGCACTTTAAATGTATTTTTCACTTTAGAGTCTCAGGCTGTAGATCCTATGTATATTTTTCTTGAAATTCTCAGAGGCTGCCTTCTGAGCTAGACTTCCTGCTATCCCAGAGTCACAGAGAGTAACAAAGAGAATACAGCCTCCAAGAGCCAGCAAGAAATTCCACCGACAGGAGCAGCTGAGGCCGAAATAAGACCATCCAACCAGAAGACCGGCGAGATCTGGGATCTTGGGGTGTAATGTTACCAGTCTGCAGAGGGCCATTAGTTCTTGCACTCTGTGAAGCCTCAGATATGAAAGCAAATTCAGCTTCTGGAACACTGAGCTGTTCTTCCTCACAATTTCGGGAACCACTAGGAATTGCTCAGTAATGCTTTCGCTGCAGGTTTGTACACTGATCTCCTTCAGTCAATTTAAAACCACCTCCCACCTTCCCTCACCTCTAAATCCCCTTGTCAGACCCAGTAAGTCCAGTACGTCTTGGGAAAGCCGCTCTCTCCCGGGAAGCTCATGGTCCAAGAGGAGGGTCCACCTGACGCCCACCCCGGGGAACGAGAACAGAATCCCTGCTGCATGCAGCAAGGCGGCCGCTCACACAGGGGAAACAGACTCCCAGTTCTGAGCTCAGACACGACTCTGTCTTTCTCGTGTTCCCGATGGCAGCTTCTAACCCTCATCTCCATCAGCCCACACAGCCAACACTGCAGCTGGTCCAAATTTCTTTTTTTATCTTTATTGTGGAATGCATTACAAATGTTCCTCATTTTTCCCCCATTAACCCCCTCCTCCCCACTCCCGCCCCCCTCCTGCCTTTTCCCACACTGTTGTCTGTGTCCATTGTAATAACTCCATTCTGACCCTCAGTTACTACACGTACACACCCTGGCAGACTCTTTTTTGTAAACATAAGTGCTTTGAGAAAGCCAAAGAAAACTATAAAGATAAGGGGTTAATGATGGCCTCGGGAAACTCAGAGGAACCATGAGAAAAAAGAGATTAATGGTTGCCCTGACCTCTAACAAGCTCCTCTCTCCCCGTTTTCTGTATTAGCCCCCCTAACGGTGCCAAAAGCGGTGCCAAGAGAATGCAGTTTTGTTTTTTCCCTGTAGTTTGTGCCTTTAAAAGCCAGCAACAAAGAAGGCAGGTGGCTGGGATTTGGGGAGAGCCCCCCCAGCCCGCCGGTGTAATGAAGTGCTCCTTTACAATTCGGCTGTGCGTCTCTGGTTATCTCGCTGACACCTTACACCACATTGGTTATGCATATAAGTTCTTTGGTTTATTTCTTCCCACCTCCCAACCCCCTTACCTTTGAGGTTTGTCAGTCTAGCAACCAATTTGTACTTCTTAATCCCTTCACCTTTTTCACCCATTCCCCCAACGCCCCTCCCATCTGGCAACCAACAAAATGTTCTCTGTATCTATGAGGATGTTTCTGTTCTGCCTGTTCATTTTGTTTGTAGATTCCCTTGCCAATAGATATGTATTCATTGCCATTTTGTTTGTTCATAGATTTTATCTTTTTCTTCAAAAAGTCCCTTCAACATTTCATATAATAACGGTTTGGTGGTGATGAACTCCTTTAACTTTTTCTTGTCTAGGAAACTCTTTATATGGCCATTGATTCTAAGTGACAGCTTTGTAGGATAGAGTAATCTTGGTTGTAGGTTCTTGCTTTTCATCACTCTGAATATTTCTTGCCACTCCCTTCTGGCCTGCAAAGTTTCTTTTGAAAAATCAGCTGACAGTCTTATGGAAACTCCCTTGTAGGTAATTAACTGCTTTTCTCTTGCTGCTTTTAAGACTCTCTCTTTGTCTTGAATCTTTTGCATTTTGATGATGATGTGTCTTGGTGCGGGCCTCTTGGGGTTCACCTTATTTGGGACTCTCTGTGCTTCCTGGACTTGTATGTCTGTTTTCTTCACCAAGTTAGGAAAGTTTTCTGTCATTATTGTTTCAAATAGGTTTTCGATTTCTTGTTCTCTCTCTTCTCCTTCTGGCACCCCCAAGATGCGAATGTTGGCACGCTTGAAGTTGTCCCAGAGGCTCCTTACACTATCCTCATTTTTTTTGGATTCTTTTTTCTTTTTGCTGTTCTGATTGGGTGTTTTTTGCTTCCTTATATTCCAAATTGATGGTTTTCTTCTTGGCTTTACATACTCTATTATTGAATCTGCGTAAATTATTTATTTCAGTTAGTGCCTCCTTCATTTCTGACTGTGCATCCTTCAGTTCTGACTGGTCCTTTTTAATGCTCTTGAGGCCCTCACTAAGTTCACTGAGGTTCTCACTAAGTTCTTTGAGCATCCTTATAAGCAGTATTTTGAACTCAGCATCTGTGAGGTTGCTTATCTCCATTTTGCTTAGTTCTTTTCCTGGGGTTTTGTTCTGTTCTTTCATTTGGGACCTGTTTCTTTGTCTCCTCATTTTGGCTTCCTCCCTGTGTTTGTTTCTATGTATTACATAACAAGAAGTATGGGGCTATCTGAGACCAGATGCTGCTTGTTTGAAAGAATTTAGGAAAACCTGAAGCAAGATCCAAGACAGGCCAATCCTATGGTTAAGCAACTGGCAACAGCTTGGGTGGGCCTGAATGTTGGGTGGGGCAGGGCCTCAGGAAATCACCAGGGCGAGGCAACCAGTGTGAGCCAGGTTGCTGGAGTCCCAGATATGGTGGCTCTCTGCCACCCTAGGGAAGGGCTCACCAAAGGATCAAAGGCCTCTGACAGCACATCTCTCCTGGAGAAAGCCCCCTCTCCAGCTCTTGTTCCAATGCCAAACAGTTCAGTTCTTCCCTGTATGTCTTTGGTGCCCCTCGATCTGCCTCCCCTCCAAGCCTAGAGGGAGAGAGTCTGATAAGTCCATGCGCGGGCCCTTTAAGAAAAGCTGCCTGGGGCTCCAGCCGCCTCAGCCTCCCTGAGCCTCAGTTCCCACTGGTTTTTCCAGCCAGAATTCTGGGGACTCTCTTCCTGGCACAGGAACCCTGAGCAGGGAGCCTGGTGTGGGATGGGGACCCCTCAGTCCTCAGGGAGGACCTTCCCAGCCGAGGTGTCCTCCTGATTTTTATACGCCACACACGTGGGTGTGGGACCAGCCCGTCCGCCTCCGCCCCTCCTACCAGTCTCGATGCAGTTGCTTCTTTAATTTCGTAGTTGTAAGACTTCCATTCTGCTCGATTTCAGGTGGTTTTGAATGATGGTTGTTCTGTAGTCTAGTTGTAACTTTGATGTGGTTGTGGGAGGACACGATACTGCATTTACGTACGCTGCCATCTTGCAGTCTAAATTTGTGATGTTGAGACCTAATCTGGTCCCTGCCCTTGGTGTTTCAGATGACAGTTTTCTTTCTTTCCCTGAATCTACATGTGGGGGGAAAGTTTTCAACTCTGCTGATGGACTTAGATCCTCAAACATGAAAGACCTGCTCCTAACTACATGGGCGTGGGAGAGCATACCCTTTCTGCGTCATCTCCCAGACTGTGGCCCACGTACCCCTCTCACTTCTGCAGAAACCAACTGTGACTTTCATCTCCAACCAGGCCTCCTGCTACTTAGCAGAAGGGATGCTTTTGGAATGTGTTGCAAACATAAGCCAAAATGAGACAGAAGACAGGTCACTAAAAAGCTGAGTGGCAAGGATGTAGATAAAAATGGTTGGTATGGCCTTAGCCGGTTTGGCTCAGTGGTTAGACCGTCGGCCTGCGGACCAGAGAGTCCCGGGTTCAGTTCCCACTAAGAACACATACCTCAGTTGCAGTTTGCCTCCAGCCCCGGTTGGGGTCATGCGGGTAGCAACCACTCGATGTGTCTCTCTCACATCAATGTTTCTTTCTCTCTTCCTCTCTCCCTCCCACTCTATCTGGAAAAAAAAAAAAAAAAAATCCAAAAAGGTTGGTATGAAAAGCCCAACTCTATCAAACCAAAGCTTGGGCCAGTGGACTCCTGTGGGCCTGTACCAGGAGATGGGCTGTGTCAACCACCCTCACAGATACTCTCTGTGGCTTCCTCCCGAGGTGCTTGCTGTCTTTTTCTGAATTTACATAACTTTAAAGGTCTTGGGGTCCTTTTTTTTCTCTTGGTAAACTCTGTCATGCCACATCCTCTCAGGTAGCTGTCCTTGAAGCCTTTGCACATGAGCTATGGCAGCCAGCTGTGCCCGGGCATCTGCCTTCCCTTTTCCACCGAACATGGTATTTCTACCCTGCGGTCCACACGTAAACGTTTTCGTGGCCTCACATGGAAACACACTCAGTCTCCTCTTTGGTCAGGCCTCTGGGTAGTTTCCCAGAATTTGATATTACAAATCCTATTGCACGGAACACAGTCACCACTGGATGGAGAACAGGCAGTGCCTTAGGGTGAGTGCCCAGTCCAAGCGTGGGAATAGTCATGTGCTGCATAATCACATTTTGGTTGATAAAGATTATGATTGAGCCCTGGCCGGTTTTGCTCAGTGGTTAGAGCATCTGCCTGCAGTCCGGAGAGACCTGGGTTCAGTTCCCGCCAAGGGCATGTACCTCGGTTGCAGTTTGTCCCCGGCCCTAATTGGGGTTGTGTGGGTGGCGACCACTCGATGTGTCCCTCTCACATCAATGTTTCTCTCTCTCCTTCCCCCCCTCTCCCTCTGCTCTATCTGAAGATAAATGCAAAAATGTCCTCGGGTGAGAATAAAAACTAAATAAAAATAAAATAAAATAAATAAATAAATAAATAAAAGCAAGACTTAAAAAAAAAGATTATGATTGAGACTTTCAATGA